TTACTAATGTTCCCTTTAACCACTTCTGGTAAGCTTAAAATGTTTGTGTTAGAAGTCATTCACGACAGTAGTCGAATAGCGGATTCGAACCCACGACCTTCCGTGTTCGCGGTAAGCGCCCTGCCATTAGGCTACTGACGCTTCTATGCCAGCAACTATTCAGGTCTTACAATAAAAAAAAATATTTTTCTTCACAAAACTTAAATTAATTAGATAGTTGATTGGGGTCTCCATTTAAGCAAGTTACAAGTTTTTTTTTCTTACAAGTTCTATTCTTTGTCATTTATTATGTCTATTGTGGTGACAGCTTTGGCTATAGTTCACCGCTAATAATTTCAATGTATTGCAGGATTTGCCGAGCTGTGAGAACCCTTACCTCCTCTGGGCTTAGTAAGTAATTCCCAAAGTACCTAGACGCTGTGTTTTCGAATTAGATGTCCGTATTCAGTAAAATGTTCACAGGTGTTCCAATCATGATAACTATAACTAATGGTGTCAAAGCAAACATATTTTCAAGTAGTAAAGTTACAGCCTACATAATATACGTCGTTTTGTGTGGCAGAGATCTCCTCATCTGACTGAGAGGGTTTGACGGCAAAGAAGTGTCCACAGAGTGTCCTAATGCGTGTTGGCGGACTGTACATGTCTTAATTTTTTTTTAATTTCTTAGAAATGCAGGTTTTCTCGCGATCATGTGATCATGTGAACATGATCATCCTTCACCGCCGAGCACGTGTTTGAGTCAGTACTTGAACTTGCAATCAACAATATCATTGCTGCCGGTTTCGAACCCGGGTTGCTCGCATACTGTAGAATTCATAGTAAGGGCTAACAGCTACCACGGCTCTTATTTTAAATTAGGTTTTAATAATATAATGGCCAAATACTCAGTCCACTCAATTTTAAGATTTCATTACGTCTCGTGGTGTCACAGTCACTTTGACTGGAAGTGATAGAGACAGCACGAAACTTAACGGCGTCTTAAAATTGAACAGCGTTTGAGTATTAGGGCATGCATTTTATAAATTTCAAGTTTATCTAAAGCTGCGGGTTCCTGGCATTCTGCCAGGGGCATTAAACTGTCGCCCTTGAAATCGATAAAATGCACGGGAAGGCAACTTAATAATACTGCAGTCACACACGTGGTGTATTCAAATATAATGACAACGTATGATCACTATCATCCTCATTAGTGCAGTGGTGGTGTGAGAATGTCCTCTACCCCATATCATCCCGTGGGTGTCGTAAGAAGCGACAGAGCGAAACAAATCAAGAGGGCAGCAGCTAATAACGAGTAAAAATAAAAAAGTGCGAGTCGGACTCGCGTACCGAGGGTTCCGCAAAAATCAGTAGGTAAAGTTTAAAATTATTAAAATATTTTTATTATATGATGTAACTAAAAATTTATGCTTTTCGCTATTTTTCCTCTAGCTGTGCCATAATACGTTGTTTAGTACCAAATTTTAAGATTCTGAATTCCCGGAAAGTACACTGTAGGTTTTGATTCCCTTGCGAATGTCGAAAATTTGCGGCATAAACGGCTGTATCTTTTGATTGCGTTAGCTTAGAAGTTTGATTTTTCACAGCTCCAAGGGACAGTAGACTTGAGTATTTGATATGAATTTCAACTTGATACCTCCACGCGTTCCTGAGAAAAAGGGTCTTGACAGACGGGCAACAAAGTGATCCTATAAGGGTTCCGTTTTTTTTCTTTTGAGGTACGGAACCGTAAAAAAACTACGGTTGACAACCCGCTTGCCGAGCGTGGCAACTAATAATGTAATGACGGTAGAGTTACCGTTACAACCTACAACATATTACAAGTCCCCTGCTGGCCATAGGCCTCACCCCTAGATTGCCTCATAGATGCCTCTATATATATTTGTCATATTTGCCAAGCTTGCCAGGCGGGTTGGGAATCGCAGTTTTATATTTTTAACCAGTTTTTATCAGGAAGATGCTGCTGCCAATATTCTGTTTCAGTTTCCCTCGTATCGCCTCTTACGATATCCACGGAATGACATCTTTTTGACTCAAATACTTATACCTCTGGACAATATTTTTTATAAGATAGGGTGACAAACGAGCACACAGTCCACCTGATGGTAAGTGGTTGCTGCGGCCCATAGACATCTACATGTATCCTCAACAAAGAATCAAAATGCAGATGCGTCGTCACCCGTGAGGACTAAGTTGGAATGCCTCTTTTCCAGTAAAATGGGTCTCCGGTTCTCTACACTCACCACACGAAACACAGCTGTGTCAAGCTGCTATTTTACGCTGGTATTCTGTGAGAACGTGGTCCTTCCCCGGTCGAGCCGACACATTCGTGCTAAACTATACTACTAATATAGCTGCAGCATGGCTCTACCACGTGCATTATATCGTTATAAAGTTAAAGTTACAGCCTATAATACGTCACATTGCTAGGCACAGGCCTCCTCTCATTTCTGAGAGGGTTTTAGGGCAAGGAAATGTGCGCCGCGCTGCCCCAATGTGTGTTGCAAACTTCACATGTCTTCGAAATACTTTTTTTTCTTATTACTCAGACAGGAAGTTTTCTTCACGATGTTTTCCTTCACCGCCGAGCACGAGGTGAATAGGACTTAAAATTGCAATTAACAATTTCATTTGTGCTGGCGGGGATCGAACCCGGTTTGCTCGCGTACTGAGTAATTTACTGCGAGCGCCAACCATCTGACCTACCACGGCTCTCAATTATCGTTGTTCAGACAGAAATAATCACTACTTTTTTTTGTGGTCTATGATTATCTATACAAAAATACTAACAAAATGAGCTAATCTTCCCTTATCCTGGGGAACTCAAAACATTTGATTATTATTTTGCAAAGATATCTATATATCTATACAAATAAATAAAATTGAGGTGTCTGTTTGTAATGTTAAAATAACAGCTTATTATTATTACTAAATGCATATGAAAGTACATTATACGGTACTAATAACAAAAAACAACACTTAAAATTTTTGTCTGTCTGTCTGTCTGTTTGTTTGAAACGGCTGGACCGATTTTGACGATACTTTCACCAGCAGATAGCCGATGTTAAAGGAGTAACTTAAGATACTTTCATTTTAGAAAAAGAATTAGGGTTCCGCGCAAAAAAATTAAAACTTATGAAATCTTAGTAAATTCCACGCGGGTAAAGTCGCGGGGGGAGTTAGTTTCTAGTAAATACTTTAATAAAATACACTCGCTCGCTTCCGTTACAACGTCCAGGAGTGGGGAATGTTGACATTTCGGCGAGCCAGGTATGCGCGGGTTGCTTTGGCCTACATCAAGAATGAATGTTCGCTTATATTGAAATTGTTGTGAGGCATACTTTTATTGAGATGAGCAATCATTGCTTTATCGCGTTGATATTATGTGCAGACACGATAGAACACATAAACAAAAAGGATACAAAAGAATGCATAAATTCTGACATGAGCTGTAATGAATCTGCGCAAATAAGATTTGTTATGTTTACGCGAACACTCCACTTCTTTTTACGTGGTAGAGCCACGCTAAAACTATTTTATGGTTGTAGCACGAATGGGTCGGCTCGACCGGGGAAGGACCACGCTCTCACAGAATACCAACATAAAATAGCAGCTTAACCAAAACTATTTAGTAATCTGTGGCTTAACACTGCTTTGTTTCGTATGTTGAGTGTAGAGAACCGGAGACCCTTTTTACTAGAAAAGAGGCATTCTATCTTAGTCCTCACGGCTGACAACGCATCTGCATTTTAATCCGCAAACGAAGATAGATGTAGATGTCTATGGGCCACAGCAGTGTGCTCGTTTGTCACCTTATCCTAAAAAAAAATTCTGGTTCTGAATGTTTGTCCTTGTGCAATTTATTTGAGTGAATGGTCTCCACGATACTAGAGAAAATCCTAGTGTGGAGGTAACGTTAAAAAAAGGAAAAGAAAAAACAGAAGATGGACAGAAGTCTTCCTAATAACAATGAAATAATAAAAATCTATGGTAATTATCCCCCTTTATTGAGCAACCTATGGGAGGGATTCAACAGTGGACTTTTTATAGACTATAACGGTATTTCTTAATAATAAAATAAATGTGCATCGATGCAATTCGATTGATCCAATGTTTATAAAAATGTCACGCATGCTTCACGATGTTACGAGTTAATTTTGTCTAAACAAGAAAACGCAACGTTTACGCAATTATTAGATTTTGCATGTACTGTAAATAGACTTGTGCGTTTCAAAGTTTAATGTGCAAAAATAATAACATCCCATTTAAAATACAAAAAGTAAAAAATAATGTGGGTAGATTTAGCTTCTTTCTTAGTTGTGGTAGCTTCATATATTAAAAAAATTATAACCTTTACTAGGTTGCAAGACTAGTTTTATGCCCTGTCTGGGTAGGTATCACCCTCTATTTCTGCCGCCAAACACATAAGTAAAGAAAGTCCTTACTCTTTACTCTGTGCCTGCAATGCTGTGTTCCAGTCCGAGGCGTATAGAGAGCGAGTAAAATTAGAGGCTGTGAGGAACTGAGGAATGAAATCTGACTCCTCAGAGGTGACAATGGATCTCTGGCCTTTGTTTGAAGTTGCTAACAGGTATCAATGGGCTGTAGACGCCACTTACCATTAGATGCGCTGTTCGTTTGTTACTTCAGTTTAATTAAAAAAAAAAGGAAGAAGAAATAGTCTCTGATATATTAAGCAGTGCTCTTTTAATGCTCAACAGTTTAAACTTATAAAGTATGTATCTATTCAAGTTAATTATAACAAGGAAATTACAATACATAATGTGGTTTAACCCCTGTGATGAAAATGGCGTAGACAGCAATGCGTAAAGAGAGCGAGGGTGTAGAAACACCATTATAGGATATAGTTATATAGACGCTCGAGTACGCCGGGAGTCGGGACAATCGATTCGAGTAGCGCTCCCCTGCCGTCGCGCCGGGCATCCACCCGGCAACCACACATTCTTGGTTCACGCGAAAAGACTTCCATAAAAACTTACCTCTCAGTAAACACACCAAAGAATTGCAGTCGCTGGTAGCGAAACACTTAACCACTTTTATTAAAGTCTAACCCGCTATTAATCTTACTGACACAATCCTTTTTTACTTACACTTTTTAACAAATAGCTAATCTAGACAAGAAATAAATAACCGGCTACGTTGTGTCCGGCGCTGTTAGAATTTTAATAATAACAACGCTACCCCCACGATCGTTTGCGGCGGACTGACTGAAATGAAGATGGCGCCGACTGTGCGTTCAAGATGACGCGAGTGAATGCAGTCACGGGCGACCCGTTAGGATTTCGACCAATCACATGACGTTGCGCTCGGAATACGCCAATGACGACGTTAAGTTGCTAATGCTAAGTTATTTTAGCCGTGAAAGTTCAAAATCAGAACAAGTTCATCTACGTTCAATTGTAATTTAATTATATTTTGTGATACAAATTTTATTCAAGGTCCATGCAACTTAATTAAGCAATTAACAGTTACTGTCGGTCAATGCACCGTCAGTAACACTGCAGATGATAATAAAAAGCATTTGGAAAAATCATTGCGTTTATTTTACCGTGGGTGGTTTTAACTACAATTTAATTATAATACATCGTCTTTTTTTTTATTTGAGGAATTAATACTGTTATGATAGAAGTACTACACTTTTTAATAAACCGCAAATATTTTATCATAAATTTTAACTATCAATCAATCAATATAAGTATTCTTTAGTTTACCTACACAAATATAGGTAGTACGTAGTACCTACCTAACAATAAAAGGACACTGTAGTCTATAAAAGTATGAAAGTCCAAAAAAACGCTCTAAAAGCGATTTTTCCGGATAACTTATTACGCCGTTTCAGGCTGGTCGGCGATGAAGGAAAATATCATAAGGAAACAGTACATTATACTTCAATGGAAGATATCTGAGAAATAAAAAAAAATCCGAAGATATTTTGAAGTGCACCAATCTGCATTGGGCCAGCACTACGATATTTTCTTTCTATAAAACCCTCAGGAATGAGAGGAGATCTTACTTTTGTTTTTTAGTTTTGCCTGCGCAATAAAACTGACTAAATAATATAGAAGAGGATGGTGACGGAACACACACGGAACACAATAAAAAATTTTGTACAACCGACTTCCATATACATAAAATGAGAACATCATCAATGTAGTCGAAGTCAATTAAATATGCATTATTAAGGATAACTAAAAAACTACTAATCAGATATTGATCAAATTTATATGGGACTACGTGAGTAGTACAAGCTTTCAGAGCTAGCCAGAGAAAAAGAATCATCAAAATCGGTTCACCTAGAAAAAAGTTCTAAATAAGCACATAAAAATTACAGTCGAATTGAGAACCTCTTCCTTTTTTTGAGGGCTCCAAGTCACCTTTAGAGAGCCAAGTTGAAAGGCATTTCATGTTAGTCCTCAGAAGTGATGCATCTGCAGCCTTCCTTGTTGGAAGTTTCCTGCAGGTGTCCAATGTCCAATCCAAACTTTTTACTTTTGCAGGCCATTGCTTTTTTTATAGGAGAGGGGGCAAACGAGCATGCGGCTCACCTGATGGTAAGTGACTACCGCCGCCCATGAAGAACTGCAACACCAGGGAGGGAATTGCAGATGCGTTGCCAGCCTTTTAAAAAGGAGTAGGCTCTTTTTTTGAAGGTCCTTAAGTCTTATCGGTCCGGAAAAATAGCTGATGGTAATCGATTCCACAACGAAGTCGTGCGAGGAAGAAAACATCTTCTAAATCGCACAGTGGTGGACCGCCAATCATCCAGATGGTGTGGATGGTATCGGGAGTTCTACCGCGATGTACGTTCGTGAAATTTGGCGGCTGGAATTAATCCGAACAATTCCTCAGAGCACTCCCAGTGGTAGAGGAAAGAAAATGCAAAGGGATGCAACATCTCTTCGCAGTGCCAATGAATCGAGCCGATCGGAAAGGACTCGGTCGTCGACGATTCGAGCCGCTCTGCGCTGGATGCGGTCAAGTGGAAGGAGCTGGCACTGGGGCGCCGCTGCCCAGAGATGGGAACAGTATTCCATCCCAAAAAGGGAGCCTAAAAGGTCGGCTTTGACTTTTACGGCATGGACCAGTGAGTCGTCCTCCCTGTGCAGAGATGGTAGTGATGGCTTACAGAAATTAAAAGCGAACTAGTTTCTCGCCAATTCCGCCTATGTGCTCTGACTTTGTCTTGGCAATAACTCTTTTGAAGGACCTGGAGGCGAAGTTATACTTCTATTTAAGTGTGCTGGTGTTTACATCCCGAGTTACCGAAGCCGCAGCCCAGGCTTGATAACACTCCTGCTTACTGCGTAATGCAGTCTTACAGGAGCGACCAAACCAAGGCTGAGATCTGCTTCCGATGGGTACCACAGATGATGGAATAAATATTTCCATTCCTTGTAGCACCACATCAGTGACAGAGTCAGCAACAGCGCTGGGATCATCCGGCGAGAAACAAACCCGCCCCCATGGGTAGGTCCCAATCCGCCGACCTGTAATGCCAAACACAACGGCAACCTGCAGAACGCAACTGCGAGGGTTGCGTGAGTGGCACCACACTCCGGATCAGACAATGGTCCGAAGAGCCGAGAGGGGGGGGCATCGACGGAACCTGATATCCGTCCGGATGAGAAGTCAGCAGAAGGTCCAACAGGGAAGGTGTATGATCCTCCATATCTGGAATCCGCGTAGGCGAAGTAACCAGTTGTGTCAGACCATATGCCAAGGCAGTCATAAACAGATCTCCCCGCATGATCGGTTAAACGTGAACCGAGCCATTCGGCGAGGTGGGTGATAAAATCACCAAGGATCACGATCTCTGCGGATGGGACCTGTTGTAGCAGGGAATCTGTAGCCTTTTGGACGTGGTCGATGAGTCGGTCTGTTTCGGCATTACATATTGGGACCTATAGAGGCACCCGTTGACGCGCGGATGGTCGTCGCTGTCTACGCGTAGCCAAAGGATGGACAGGTCCGAACCTTCAATACTGCCGAGGCGTCGAGAACAAATGTCCTCTCTGACATACACGCAAACTCCAGCCCGAGGCACAAAGGAGTCCTCCAATTTGTACCCCGGGCAGGAGAGATACGAAGTATCAGCCGGAGAGGACACCTGCGTCTCGGTCAGAAAGAGCAAGGCCAGCTTCGCCGTCTCGAGAAGGTTCGAGTGAAGTCCCCTGATGTTGCAGAAATTCACGGATAGCGTGGCAGGGGTCGCCTTGGTATTGTTGCTCAGTTTGCCCTGAGCAGTTATGTTTTTGAGCGGAATTTTGCCCCGCCACGCTCAGGAGTGGAATAACATGGTCGTGGATGCTCAGCGAGGGATATTCCAGGGGTGCTGGTACCCTCCTGGTGTAGTCTTTCGCGTAATTCCGCTACCATGTTGATGGCGGGGGGGGGGGGGGGGGGGGAATTGGGCCTCTGGTCACCGGAACTCACCAGACGAAACGCAGAAGCAGAACTTCTACTTCACGCCGGTATTCTGTGAGTTCGTGGTACCAACCCGGCTCGAGCCAGCCCATACGTGCAACTGCCTCGTGGCTCTACCACCGTTATATATGGGAGGCAGGCTGGGCTTCCTGCTTATTTTCGAACGCAACGCTCGAATCTCGATCGGTTAATTCGTTATAAAGGTATCAAAATTCATCGTTATAAAGATGACATTTACATACATACAAACACACGAACACACACAGCCAGACGTCCAGGTGGGTATAGTCGGAACGGCTTCCTAGGACCTCAGAACGTGGAGCATTCTCAAAATCAGACCGAAATCATTAACTTTCTACTTTTGAAAATTATTAATTTTCAAAGCGGGAAGTTAATATACCAAGTCCCACTAAATTAATAATATTTAACTTAATAAGCCTCTATAGCTCTATAGGTAAAAGCATTAAGAATTAGAACTAATTTTAAAAAAGTAATAACGCTCCACAGCACAAAAGGAAAATTTACAATCCGTGTAATTATTGCCTTTAAAGTTAAAACGGTTAAGTACCAGGATAATATTCAATATGCAACGCATAATAAATAAAATTGCGATACTTATTTACGATTGGACCTGCTGCAGTGAGTCTCATGGAAGAGCTTCTTCAGACCTTAAAATAAACCTGTTTTTAAACATCACTGCACGTTTGAGAATTTATTTATTGTAAAGAGTTTTATTTTTTAATTTCAAACAGTGTATTTCTATTTAAAAAAAGATATACATAATGTAAACACTTTTTCTTGTTAAAGTTAAATTTAATAATTTATCAGCTTTTGATAGTGATCAAAAACTTCTTTTGATGTGTGTAAACGAATTCCAATAATAATTTTATTATTGGAATTCCAATAATAATTTTTATTTAGAGTATTTCGTTTTATATTTTCAGGCAAAGTTTTTAGGTTTAAATAAAATCTATTGAAATGGAAGTCATGAGATTTTTTATCATTTCCCGTCATCATTTGCCTGGTAAGCTTCTCGGTAGCATACTTTATTCTATCTACCGACTTCAAAATGAAGGAGGTACTCAATTCGACTGTATGTTTTTTTATGTGTGTTACCTCATAACTTTTTTCTAGGTGAACCGATTTTCATGATTCTTTTTTTATTTGAAAGCTGGTGCTTCTCATGTGGACCTATATAAATCTGATCAAGGTCTGACCAATGGTTTTTGAGTTATCCTTAATAATTTTAATTGAATAGAATAACGGTGACAAACGATCACACAATTCACCTGATGGTAAGTGGATACTATGGTCCATAGACATCTACATTTATCCTCGATCAAGAATCAATATTCAGATGCGTTGTCTGCCTTGAAAATTAAGATGGAACGCCTCGTTTCTAATTAAAAGGGTCTCCGGTTCTCTACACTCACCGTACGAAACACAGCAGTGTTAAGCTGCTATTTTACGCTGGTATTCTGCGAGAGCGTGATCCTTCCCCGGTCGAGCCGACCCATACGTGCTACAACCATAATAATGCGGCAGCATGGCTTTATCACGTACAGTTCTACTAAGTACACAGTCGAACAACGACTATAGGCCTCTCCTATAGTTACCTCGTAGAGGTATATTTGCCATGTTGCCACGCTCCGCAAACGGGTTGGCAACCGCAGTATTTTGTTTTTAGTTGTTATTAGGAAGACGTTGCTGCCCATCTCCTGATTTGTTACCCTCTGTCCCCTCTTACGACACCCACGGGATGATAAATGGGGTAATGGATA